AAGAAATAAGGCTCAAACCTCACAAGGTAGATATATGAATGCCAATCAAAGTAATCGACCAAGCATTTCATCACGCTATGCCTCATATGACAACATCACAACTCATCGAATTCATTAAACAAGTCTTAACTAATCTTGAAATTTCCAAAGTCCATACTCACAAAAACACACAAAACCTACACTAGACCGGTCCACCACATAAGCATGCAAAATCTACGTAAACTCCCCCACACTTAAAATGAGGCAATGTCCTCATTGGTTCAACACAAAACCAGGAAGTCAAATAATAGGACCAAGCAATTTCACATAATGAACCAACCCTAGCAGCTAACACAAGAACACCAAACTCAGAAGAAAGGACAGAAAGAAGAAGAAACACAAAAAGATAAAAAGAGAAAAGAGTACGCAAATCGAAGATGCTTCGAGTGTAGTAAGCATTCCCATGCAGGCCTTTCGCCCATGCTTAACCCAGAACCGCGACACGTCCTGCCAAGAAAAACACAAAACTCCAAAACTCCCATTATTCAAAGATAAAACTAAAAAAAGCAAAAAGAAAATAACTAAGAAAACGATAAATCACTTGGGTTGCCTCCTAAGAAACGTTTGTTTAACGTCATTAGCTTGACGAAACCTGGGTACAAATCAGCCAGGATCCAGAAAGAAGTGGCGATCGTGCCATGCCTTCGTGTTTTCCAGAAGTGGTAGCATGGGAAGATTGGCGAGAAGGCTGGCACGGTGGATCCGGGTGGCTATGTTCTTGGTGAACCGGGTTCGGGCACGAGAAATCCCCAATTCTAGACGCAGAGCTTTTCCCACGCGAGCTCTGTCGACAACCTCCGGGACTATAAGGATACCTGTGGAGCAAGTCAAACTGAATGCTCCCCACTTCGTAACACAGTGCAACGGCCTCGAAGAAGGATGCTCCAACTCGGAGGTGGGAGGTGGGAGTTGAGAATCAAGCCCATGGATCTCCTCTTCTGAAATATCATCAACGTCTGGATGAAGCTCATCATATTCTTCTTCGGCCTCACCAATTTGCTTCAACATACGGGCTTGAGTATCAAACATAAAGTGGGGTCGGCGACTTGTGCCTCGATTGAGTCGATGTGTGCTGTAAGAATCTCCGTTTGTGTGCCCAGTCGAGCACATCTGAGCTCAATCTCCACATCTCGAGTGGCCTGGACAGATATGCGAGCAAGGATGAGGTCGAGCTTTTCATCGTATGTCAAAGCAGCCTCCTGAGGTTCATCTCTATGTATAGATTCGCCTTGAGCGGTGGGCTCGGGAGTGACATTGTTAACTCGATCCTCTAAGGCGTGTACGCGTTCCACAAGGTTCTCAATTCTGGACTCAATATTGCTCCTACGGGCCGCTTGGGAGGCTAAAAGAGCGAGGGCCTGGTCGAGCTTGGCATTGTACTCTGAGGAATCTTCGAGGGGCTCACATGACTGCTCAACAGGTACAGACTCCCATTGCTGCTCGTAAGGATATGACCAAGTCTGGCCATAGTCCCAAGAATCGTGGTATGGAGGTGACTGATGCGGATGGGTACACCGGGTTGCGGTCTCTTCATCCTGAGCTAACCGGGATGACGCGAATTCATAGATCGGTCGAGCTTCTCGTTGAACTCGTGGGACTCATAAGCGTGCTCGACTGTGTAGGGATCCCAATACTGCTCGGAAGAATATGAATATGATTGGTTGTGATACCCGGCGTGATAGCTCAGCTCGTAACCCCAAGGTTAGGTGTGCGGATAGGGAAAAGTACGGTTGAAGTTCATATCTCCTGCACACCAAAATAGACCAACCACACGTAGCCACGAAAAGAAAGGGGAAAAGGATGAAAACTAAAACAGAAACGAAAAGAAAAACAAAGATGCAAACAAAGGACACGAACACGAAAAACACAAAATAAAGAGAAACATAAAAAATAAAATCAACACCAGAACCAAATATCTTACTTGCCTCCCCCGGCAACGGTGCCAAATTTGTTGTAGCAAATTATTTTATGTTTTTACCGAGTACCGAATCAAAAGATTCGCTCCCCGGGTCGATCTCTTGAGGAAGACGGTTCGGAATTTAGCGTTGGTCTTGATCACACACGAAAAGAAAATAAGTCCTAAACACTCTAATCACGATTGATTTGGGGAATCAACTAAAACAAGCTAGAACTAGAAAAACAATTTAAAGAAATAACAATTAAATTTCTAGAGAAAAAGAAGAAGTTCTAGGGGTCGGGAAATCTCATCAAGTCTTAAATTATGTTGAACGCTTATTTGTTCGGTTACGAGATTAAACAAGCCTACACGTCTAGAGGGCTCAATAACTCTTCGTAACAAGAGCACAAACATAAACAATAAATCCATTCAAACAAGCAACACATAGACAATACTTTTACGAACATGTCTACTCTATACGAGCCTAAATCGACAGATGTCTCCCCTCTTGGTTCTAAACGCCGATTAACTAGGTTAGAATGGTGATCAATCAACTAACCATATAATTCACACAACTCGTATAGATTAAACAAAGCACATTCCTCATAATTCAAAACAAGAAATAAAATCCCTAACCCTAGGTGAATGGATTACCTCGTGCTTAGATTCAATTTCATGTTAACCAGAATTAAGAACATAAAACCAATCAACAATAATAAAATAGAATTGAAAAACTTACAATCGGATTAAGAGTTGCAAGATTTCAATCCAAATATCTTGTGTCCAACAGTCCAAGCATGAGAGAAAAAAAAGAAAAGCGGAGAAATTTTATCCTAACAATATTGAGTTTTTGGAGAGAAAAATTGAAAGGAACGATATGGGAATTGTTCCTTAGGTCTGGGGGATCGTTTTGATATATAGTGCTCGAAAAACGGAGCTAAAACGAGTAAAAACGGAGAAAAATAAAAACAGGGTCGAACAGGTCGCGAGTCGCGAGTCTGACGGGTTGTGGGGTTGCGCAGCTGGTCGGAGGCTCTGTTAAAGTCGCGAGTCGCGACTTTTCTCTCGCGAGTCGCGACGTAGGCTCGTGAGTCGCGACTTTTCTCTCGCGACTCGCGACTTTGGACTGCACTGCGCCATTTTATGTTTCGGGCTCGTTTGGGCTCGTCCGAACTCGGAATTGAGTTCCGTTTTTTGCTACGTGTCGCTAACGAACCCATCTATCCAATTGTGCTCTCGAAATCAACTTTTCCTGAAGATAAAATTCGCCCGAAGCTCCCGACCTACACACCAAAAACGACAAAACACGAAGAAAACCGGGAAAACAAACGAAAAATTAACTAAAGACTCAAAATGAAGGAAAACACATAATAAAACACGAAACGGACTAAAAACTAAAGAAACGACCTAAAACGGGAGAAAAAGAAAGATACAATAAGCACGAAAAACGCAACAAAAATAGGACAAACAAATCACACCATTTTCTCTTCTTTTGCCAATTCAAATCATTTTTCACACACAAGAAGACAAGTTATGGTGGAATCCTCATATACCGACATCAACGACACATATTCTCAACAACCAATTAATATGAAATGCAAAGGAGGATCAACACATCTCATAAGGTTCGCTCAAACTGTCCAAGTGTATAAGCTAAAGATATATAAATATAAGTGAACGCTCAAGTCAAAACATAGAAAATCTTTACCATAAGCTTGCCATTGCATACGCCCGACTATTCAAGAATGAACATAGATTCACAATCATCAAAGGGTTTATAATACGGTTGTAATGTAGGGTATGGGTAAAAACGGCTAGAGGTATTGACAAGCAAGAAGAAGAATAATGTAATTCAAACGAACCAAAGCAATCGTGCAAACCCCGTCCGAAAAGAGCTCAAAACACAAACATACTACCCGCAAATGATAAAGAACTAACTATATCCCAAGCCAATCCAAGAATAAAAGGGGCAATCACTCCACGGAAATCACTACAACTCCCAATTCCTAGTAGTTTCAACTTATCTCATTATAGCACAATCGTCAACCTCTCCATTTTTTTAGTTTTTTTTTTCTTTTTCCTTTTTTTTTTTTAGAACTCTTGAAAGAGAGGAGGACGAATCAGACAATAAGTAATCGGGCAATTCGTTCACCAACACTTGGACCACACATCTCCCTTTAACCAAACAACGATTTCAAACACACATCCTTTCTTCTAACAAATAACCCCTGCTCAACTTGCTCAGAACACTCAATATTAAAACATACAATCCCCACAACCCATAACTCACAGCCCATTTACACACCCCGAACAGACAAGAACCTCTGCTCAAATTAGACATAAATTTACACGATCACTCGATTCAAAGGTTCAAATAAGATATCAACAAAGGGTCACATGTCATGTAATATGGTATCATTCAAAGAAAAGGCTCAAGCTCAAGGGGGCTAACTAATGGATAAGAAAAGGGGTTCGGTTTAAAAGAAAACAAGAAGAAAGGCACACAAAATAGGTTCATTCCTATGTGCCCTTATCAATCATGTGCATCCATATTCATCAAGAATCAAACATAAACGTGTATAACAAGGCAAGTTCTAGAAAGATCAACCAGTTGTGACATCACACAATCAATAAAAGGAGCATTATAGTCAGTGTATGCTCATTGGCTCAAGCCTCACGACAAGTAGGGACAAATAGTGATAATCCTCGTGCATTCGACTATTAATGATCATCGAAAACAATCAGCCAATCAGTATGCAACACACAAGGACTCCAAAAATCTTCGCACACACCAAAATTCTTCAAAAATTGGCATCACAGAGGAAATAAGTATAATCACAAAAGATATACAAATAAACTTGACACCGTCGGGCAACACCGAGTACAACTCCATATAATGAACAGAGAAAACACACAGCATAGCACAAGTAGCAGCAACCTCAAAATCAATTCCAACCAGCCTCACCCCACACTTAAAAATTTGCGTGGTCCTCAACACCACAACACTAAGAATGCATAAAATAAAAGCAAAACAAAGAGAGTTTACGAACTTCCCTCATCATAGGTAGCATCCTCGCGCGTGCGGCCGGCGTGCAGGGTCAGTGGACTCAGTGAGAAGGGACTGCCTCCTCAGGTGCTCCCGAATCCTCCGGTGAGGCTCGGGTACATTTGTTGCGATGGCCTAGCCAAGTGCCACGCGGACGGCACATATGAATGGTTCAGCGACTCGAAAGTGGGAGGCGGCATTGCGGTCGCCGATATCGGTCGGGCTGACAGCCGGTGGACATGTGGCTTAGGTGACGGCAAAGTGGGTGAGTCGGGTGCAACCGGCAACTCAACAGCCGTCAATTTGAACACTGCTGGTGGCGATGTGGGCTGGGAAGACGCGTGCTGAGGCGTTGTGGTCGCCATTTTGGGCACCGGTGGTGAGACAGGTGGTGCTGACGGTGTCTAAGAAGAGACGAGCGGAGAGGCCGATAGCGGCGGTGGGTTCTTCGGGTTCAGATCAGCCGACGGCGAAACAGGGTTGAGCAGGGGGCTAGCGCCGTCGCGGGTGGCGGCGACTGCAGGACAACCGGTGACGACGCGGGTTGCGATGGGTTTGCCGATTTCAAAGCCGGCGGCGGTTTGGGTGGTGAAGCCTGCGGTGACTCGTCGGACCTCGGAGGTGACCTCGATTTGAAAGCATGTAGCTTGATGCTTGAATCTCACCATAGTTCTCGATTTTCAAAACAAGAATGCCGATGACCTCGAATTTCAATTTCGCTCAAGTTCTCTCAGATTTCCGATCGCCAGTGACGTTTGAGATGATTCTGGAAGTGGGTAAAGTGATTTGTGCTCAAAGTCTCACTCCAAAGTCAAGGCAATTGGGCTGCCACTTGTTGTTGGGCCCAAAACAAAATGACCTCAAATGCCCAATTGAATTAGCAGGCCATTACACTAAATTTCCTTCCCAGCTGCCCACTTATTCACTTTCCTCCTAGTATGGCTGGCTCGCTGAACTACACCCTCCCAGGAACTCTTACAGTAATATCCTGCAGCACTAACACAAAAGAAAGGACATCAGCAGGTAACAAGATGCATAGACAGCAAGCAGAAAAACTACTATCTCGTGTATTAATTATTTATTCAATAAATATCAAATAAAAATTACTNTCGTTGGCTCGACAAAGTACTCCCCCTTAAACTGACTGAGGAGTGTCGTCCAGCCGAACTCGTTCCACGTCATTGATTCTAAGCTCTCCATAATACGGCTTGAGCTTATGGCCATTCACCTTGAACGTCTTGCCCGTCGTAGGGCTAAAAATCTCTACTGCTCCATGGCCAAAAGCTTTCAGAACGATAAAAGGACCAATCCAACGAGAGCGTAGCTTGCCCGGGAATAATTTCAGCCTAGAGTCAAAGAGTAGAACCTTCTCCCTCTCGATAAAATTCTTCCTCAAAATTTTTAGATCATGGAAGGCCTTCGTATTTTCCTTGAAAATCACCGAATTCTCAAAGGCCTCATTTCTTATCTCTTCGAGCTCTTGTAGCTGCAACTTCCTGTGGCCTCCCGCATCCTCGAAATCAACGTTGCACTTCTTCACAGCCCACCAAGCTTTGTGCTGTAGCTCGACCGGCAAATGGCAGGGCTTCTCGAACACCAACCGGTATGGAGACATGCCGATTGAAGTCTTGTAGGCCGTTCGGTACGCCTACAACGCATCCTCTAACTTAATGCTCCAATCTTTCCTGTTGGGATTCACCGTCTTCTCCAGGATGGACTTAACTTCTCGGTTCGACACTTCGGCCTGACCACTTGTCTGAGGATGATAGGCAGTCGAAAGCCGGTGAACGACACCATATTTTCTAAGCAACGCCTCCACTGTCTTGTTGCAAAAGTGTGTTCCTCGATCACTGATCCTCGCTCGCGGAATCCCGAACCTAGAAAAAATGTTAGATTTAATGAAACCTGCAACAACCTTCGAATCGTTAGTCCGGGTGGCCTTTGCTTCCACCTATTTCGAGACATAGTCCACAGCAAGTAAGATATATTCATTACCAAACAAAGAAGGAAAAGGGCCCATGAAATCAATTCCCCAGACATCGAAAATTTCACAAATAATAATAGGGTTCTGGGGCATTTGATTCCTCTTGGAAATGTTACTTGTTCGTTGACAATTATCACACGACTTACAAAATTCATGAGCATCTCGAAAGAGTGTCGGCCAATAAAATCCACTCTCCAACACTTTATGAGCTGTCTGTCTACCTCCAAAATGACCTCCACATGCGTGTGAATGGCAGAACGAAAGAATGGAGTGGAACTTGGCTTCCGGGACACACCGCCTAATCACTTGGTCGGCACAATGCTTCCATAGGTACGGGTTGTCCCATACATAATACTTGGCGTCGCTCCTGAGTTTATCCTTCATGTGGCTCTTCATACCTGTAGGATACACTTTAGCAACTAGATAATTTGCAATACCAGCATACCAGGGTTCGGCAAAATCCAACGTCACATTTCCTCGATCTTGTTGTTCAGCTGCAGCACAGTAGAGACGGGGGTACCCTGTACTCCTAGGAAGGTACCCCGTATTACTGGGAGCTGCAAGTTTTTAATGCACATCAAATGCTCGTCTGGGAAGCTCTCTCGCAGCTGAAAGTCATCCGAGGCATGTGTCACTCGGCTTAAATGGTTAGCCACAACATTCTCAGCTCCCTTTTTGTCTTTGATCTCCACATCGAATTCTTGCAACAAGAGTATCCAACGAATGAGCCTCGACTTTGCTTCCTTTTTCGCCAAAAGATGACGTAGTGCTGCATGATCAGTAAAAACAACTACTTTAGTTCCCAATATATATAAACGGAATTTTTCAAGAGCAAAAACCACCGCCAACAATTCTTTTTCAGTCGTGGTATAATTTTCTTGGGCGGGATTCAATGTCTTTGACGCATAATAAATCACATGTGGCGCCTTATCCACTCGTTGGCCTAGCACTGCTCCTACAACATAGTTGCTTGCGTCACACATTATCTCGAACGGGAGATCCCATTTAGGTGGTTGGATGATTGGAGATGTGGTCAGCTTCTCCTTCAGTGAATCAAACGCCTTTTTGAAATCTTCGTCCACCCGAAATTCCACATCTTTTTGCAGCAATGAGCACAAAGGGGCAGCTGTCTTCGAGAAATCCTTGATGAATCGACGATAAAATCCTGCATGGCCAAGAAAAGAACACACTTCCCGCACACTTGTGGGGTAAGGAAAAGCAGTAATAATATCGACCTTCGACTTATCAACTTCAATACCTCGCTTAGAAACAATATGTCCCAAAACAATACCCTGTTCTACCATGAAATGACACTTTTCCCAATTAAGAACAAGATTCGTTTCAATACACCGTTTTAAGATTAAAGCAAGGTTCTCGAGGCCCAATTAAATGACTCACCATAGACACTAAAATCATCCATAAATACCTCTATTATGTTGTCGGCGTATTCCGAAAAGATGCTCACCATGCACCGTTGGAATGTGGTCGGCGCATTACATAATCTGAAAGGCATGCGTCTGTAAGCGAATGTCCCGAACGGGCAAGTAAATGTGGTCTTCTCCTGATCCTCGGGTGCAATAGGAATCTGAAAATAACCTGAATACCCATCTAGAAAACAATAATAAGAATAGCCTGCCAATCTCTCCAACATTTGATCAATACAAGGTAATGGAAAATGATCTTTGCGAGTCATCGCATTTAACTTACGATAGTCGATGCATACCCTCCATTCGGTCTGTACACGTGTGGGAACCAACTCACCTACCTGGTTCTCGACCACAGTCACACCCGACTTCTTTGGAACCACTTGCGTCGGGCTCACCCACCGGCTATCCGAGATCGGGTAAATGACTCCAACGTCCAGCAATTTGATAATTTCATTCTTCACCACCTCCATCATAGGAGGATTCAGTCGTCGCTGTGCCTCTCGAGATGGTTTAGCGTCTTCCTCGAGAAGGATACGATGCATGCAAATGGACGGGCTTATCCCACGCAAATCGGCAATGGTCCATCCTATTGCTCGTTTGTAATTCTTCAATACTTCAATAAGGGCTGCCTCCTGGTTAGGTTCCAAATTCGATGACACTATCACTGGGAGTGTCCGATCATCTCCCAAATAAGCATACTTCAAGTGGCTCGGCAAGGATTTCAGTTCAAGCTCCGGTGCCTGCAAAGTAGAAAGAAGAATTTTCTTATCAAGCTCAGGTAACCGCATAAAATTTTTATCATGCTTTCCAAGATTTGGTTTCAACGTATTCAAGGCTGTTACGGCCTCATCGATAAGCCCCAGCTGGTATAAAAATTCGGTTTGGTCACTATCTCTCTACAGCCCGAGTATGGAGGTACCCTGTACTCCTGGGCAGGTACCCCGTACTGTTTGGTTACTGTCCAAACTTTGTGAAATCACAAGCTCCAGCTCGTCCTCCTTGTAAGTGTCGAGAAACTCCTGTGCCAACGGTTCAATATAGTCAAGTAAATAAACACAATGGTCAGATTCAGGAAATCTCATGGCATCAAAAATATTAAACCGAATAACATTGCCATCGAACTCCATTGTGAGAGTTCCTTCACGAACGTCGATTTTCGTTTGAGCGGCGTTCAAGAACGGCCGCCCTAACGAAATCGGGGTTGATATAGGAGTCCTTTCATTCATACTCAACACATAAAAGCCAGCGGGAAAAATGAGCTCATTAACCTTTACTAGAACATCCTCAATCACCCCATCCGGAAAAGTAGTACTTCGGTCGGCAAGTTGAATTACCACCCGAGTTTCTTTAAGAGGACCCAAATTTAAGGAATCAAAAATAGAGCGAGGCATAACATTAATTGATGCTCCCAAATCGAGCATGGCTCGCTCGATTTTTAGATTCCCTATTGTGCATGGAATCGAAAACATACTTGGGTTGCTTCTCTTTTGGGGTAAATTCTTCTGAAAAATTGCCGAGACATTCTCTCCCATCAGAACCTTCTCATTCCCTTGCAACCTTCGATTGTTAGTGCATAGGTCCTTAAAAAATTTGGCGTATCGAGGGACTTGCTTGATTGCATCAATGACAGGAATATTGATCTCGACTTTCTTGAACACATCAAGAACCTGCTTCTCAGCGTCTTCCTTTGCTGCCTTTCGTACCCTGGATGGAAACGGTAGAGGTTCGGGTTTCAGTGGAGGGCAAATCAGACTGTCCATGCGTCTTTCATTCTCAGCAGACTGAGTATAGGGTGTCCCCGTATTCTGCTGCTCGGCCCCATATTCTGCTGACAGACCCTCTTTTTCACTTTCATTCTTCTCGTTTTGAGTCTTCGGGGCTTCTAATTCTTTCCCACTCCGCAAGGTGATGGCACTGACATTTTTAGGATTGATCTC